TACTTTCTGAAATTTTTTATCCATATAGTTGTGACAGAGACTTTTTGTCAAAATGTTAAAGAAAGAAAGAAAGAAAGAAAGAAAGAAAGAAAGAAAGAAATTTGTCTTTAAAAAATAATTCTTCACCAATTTTAGTGGGTACTTGTGACTACTGCTAACTATCCACACATAGTTCCATTGAAGGTAATCTTGAAATTCTACCCTGATTTGATATTATCACAAAGAAAACACTTTTGCAAATAGAGTTGTTTTTTTTTTTAAAGATAAACAATGTCAGAATGTTTTAGATAGGCTGGCTAGATACCATGCTATTTAGATTATGACATTTAAAATATACTTGGGCTCTGTGGAGTGAAATGGGTAATATGAGTATGTTATGGAAAACCTAGGGACAATTTTTCAAATCTTCCCAGTAATGGAGGAAGAATTCACTTTACGTTAACAATCACTGGTGTCAGCCCACAGACTATCCTTTAACATTAATGGCCGCATCCATTATCTACTGCTGAGAAACAAATCATCACCAAACGATTTTCATTTAGATCATGATTCCGTGGGGAGGATGGCCCAACTGGGTAGTTCATCTGGGTTCAGCTGGACTGTTTCAGGCTCTGAGTTTCCTGGTCTTTGCCACTGAATTCTCTCATATTTCTGCTTCAGTTGGGGCAACTGGGCTCACTAGGCTCTGATCCACATGGCTCATCCTCAGGCAGGACAATTCTGGCTTGTTTACTGTGGTGGAGGCACAGTCCCAAGAGAAAGAATGGGAGCACAAGATCTTTGGAGTCCAAGGTTCAGTATTGTCACATTGTGACTTTCTGTAGCAGTCTGCTAGCCAAAGCAAGGCCCAAGGCCATTCTAACAATTCTATCTCTTGATGGGAGATGCTAAAAATAGAGATATAAGAAAGACTGTGGCCTATGTCCCATCTACTACAGTGCCTCTGAGTTATTTAAAATGGCTCCTGTCAAAAAGCTTGAGGCTAGCCTAAATCTAGACTTATCACATAGTTAGTATGATCTCTCATTTCCAGAGCCTCTTAGCTTTCTCCATTTATATGCATGTATCCTGTGCTTCATCCCGATACCTGGACAGCAAAACCTGTCCGTATGTGCCATCTTCATTTGTCCTACAAGAGCCAAGTTTTGCACGTGGTATCTTCCAAATACATAACATAAATATTGACTACTATTTTTTATTACTTTATCAATATGACTTCATCATAGGAGATATCAGTATTGTAGATGTTTTCATTTTCTCAAATATTAAAGGATTTTAGTATAAATGACATCCCAAAAGTTCATGGTTAGAATAAAATATCCTAAAGATCCAATTCATTGTTCTCAAAATTAATTCTATAACAAACTATGGTGCCTTACAAATATACTTATTTCATTAAATTATCATAAGCAGTGGATCTATGGTCATAATTTAAACTCAGCGTGCTGACTCAAGATCATTCAGGCAACGTTTCCACAATGGTTGACAAATCAAATGCTCCATACATTTTTAGATTTGCTTGTTTGTTTTTAAAGCTGATGAGCTCAACAGACTTCCTCATAAATTCAATGTAAAATGAATTTACCTACTTTATAGCTAGGTTCATAAGAAATATGGCAAATTTTGTTAGAAAGCTCCCCTTGTTTTCCTGTAATCCAGTACTTATCATTACTCACGATATAGTTTCCATTAGCAGTCACTTTCTCCTGAAAGTTTTTGCTTTTTAAACTTGTTCCCTCACCTCTAAAATGATCCCTTTGCAATTGAGTAACTTCTATAAAGACATAAAATATCAGTTGCATCACATCATATGCATGGGGCATGTGGCAATCAGTACAATATCCCAACCAGAAAAAAAATGTGTGAAGCACAGATCTTCAGCCACAGAATGTATATATATATTCATACATGTTAATTTAAACAATATGAAAGTTGCTATTTTGTAGCACATAAATGAAGGGATCTTGTCAATTTCATAAGGTCCAACTTAAAATATACATAATCTGGGGCGCCTGGGTGGCGCAGTCGGTTAAGCGTCCGACTTCAGCCAGGTCACGATCTCGTGGTCCGTGAGTTCGAGCCCCGCGTCAGGCTCTGGGCTGATGGCTCAGAGCCTGGAGCCTGTTTCTGATTCCGTGTCTCCCTCTCTCTCTGCCCCTCCCCCGTTCATGCTCTCTCTCTCTCTGTCCCAAAAATAAATAAATGTTGAAAAAAAAATTTTAAATATACATAATCTAATATATGCACACACATATGCACATAAATACTCATATCACTTAGTAGTGGGAAGGAGTAAGAGGAAGGTTGACCAATTTATAAATGTAAGGATATCCAGATACTGGCCCCAAAAGTAGAAATAAAAGTCACTGCTCTTCAAGGTTCCCTCTAACAAATGTACACAATTAACATAATCCAACAGATTATTTTGCCATTCATTTGTAGACAGGCAAGTAACCAGTGAACATTTTCTTTCTTTTTATTTTTTTTCTTTTTATTTTTTTTTCAACGTTTATTTATTTTTGGGACAGAGAGAGACAGAGCATGAACGGGGGAGGGGCAGAGAGAGAGGGAGACACAGAATCGGGAAACAGGCTCCAGGCTCTGAGCCATCAGCCCAGAGCCTGACGCGGGGCTCGAACTCACGGACCGCGAGATCGTGACCTGGCTGAAGTCGGACGCTTAACTGACTGCGCCACCCAGGCGCCCCAATTTTCTTTCTTTTTATAATGGGACCATTTGTTCAAACGGGATTTGTACTGTGATCTAAGCTATGAAATGGATAAAAATGGATGTATTTCAACAGAAACTAAAAAAGTGAGTCCAAACCATCCAGGTGATACATGACTTTTCTCTACATTTTGAGTAGAATTACAATAGCAGGAAAGTATGTAATTACATTCAGTAAGACATACTAGGATTTCTTAGTTCGAACAACTATTACCATCATCACATACCATTCCCTTAACATCAAAAATAAAATATGCATGCAGGTTTAACTATTTCTTCTTAACTTTTATATTACACAGTTCAAGTCTAGTCAAAGTGAGATTGAGAAATGGCTACTGTTGGGGTGCCTGGCTGGCTTAGTCTGTAGAGCATGTGACTCTTGATCTCTGGCTTGAGCTCAAGCCCCACATTGGGAGTGGAGCCTACAACGAAAGAAAGAAAGAAAAAGAAAGAAAGAAAGAAAGAAAGAAAGAAAGAAAGAAAGAAAGAAAGAAAGAAGAAGAAAGAAGGAAGGAAAGAAGAAAGGAAGGAAGGAAGGAAGGAAGGAAGGAAGGAAGGAAGGAAGGAAGGAAAGAAGAGAAAAGAAAGGAAGGAAGAAGGAAAGAAAGAAACAAAGAAAGGGCAGGCTACTGTTGAGCAACAATAAAATGGTGGGGTATCATTGGTGGCATGTGGTAAATCCTAGAGAAGCAGATGAGACAGATTTTATTTAATCTTAGCTCATTTCCTAATTACTTTTTAAATTTTTTAAAATGTTTTTATTTATTTTTGAAGGAGAGAGACAGAGCATGAGCGGGGGAGGAGCAGAGAGAGAGGGAGACACAGAATCCAAAGCAGGCTCTAGGCTCTAAGCTGTCAGCACAGAGACTGATGCAGGGCTCAAACTCACAAACTATGAGATCATGACCTGAGCCAAAGTCAGACGCTTAACGGGCGGAACCATCCAGGAGCCCCTCATTTCTTAATTATTTAAAGCATACTGTGTTTGCCTGCTCATTGGTGCCATAGGCATCTTAAAGAACAACATCTGTTTGCTTGTTTTTTTTCCTATTTCTGATAACCTCTCCTCTCAGTTGACTTGAAACAATGTTTCACAGATAGAAGAAACATTCTAAACATCATGATGATCAGACAGTCACAAGGAGGCCCATGAAGTAACAGGGTAGACAAACTCCTGATTTGTAAAGATAACCTAAGAGTTATTGGCACAAAATACTGACCACATTTAACTGGGTCAAAACAAAACAAAAGAGGGACGGAGAAATTTGACACAAGCATTTATTCTTACGTCTATTTATCAAAGTTGGTCTCATTTATGATGGTAATATTTAAATTGTGCCAAATTTCTTCACTGATGCTTTTGTGGTGACTAATGAAGAGATTTTCAAAACTAATCCAAGCCAAACCAAATCAAACATCAGAGAAATATATATTCAAGGGTGTGATTATTAGACTTGCAGAAACAATGAAAACAAGTCATTCCCCTGTGTTAACCTGCAAATTTCTTTTACAAAGCCATTCCCACTTTAATCAATAGGAAACAATGAAAAAAAAAAGTGGGCTTGAACTGAGTCAGAATTTGTCTTGGAACATATCAAACAGGGATGCTATTTGGTGTTGAATAACCAAACTCAGATGCCTTGAAGAGTGCACAAAATCATTTTGTTTGAGGGATGGTCGGATTGCTGCAGCCAGGTTTTTTATCTTTTTTAAACTGAACTCTAGCCCAGTTCTTCCTCTGTGGAAGAACTACAGTTTCAATGAGGTATTCTCTGCCTCCATGTTGTTATAAAAAACCTGTATATAGTCAGCTATGCTCTTAAAATACTTTCATATGGTTGTCTCATGCACTCATCAAAGAATTCTGTCAACCAGACAGCATAATCCAACTTTACAGATGAAAAAAACAACGCTCAGTGAGTTTAATTAACCGGTTCAAATTATCACAACTAGGAAGGAGTGGAACTAGAAATCAAATCTTGGTCCATTCCATGCTCTCATGCAACCATGCTGCCTTTCAATAAAAATGTAAAATGAGGCAATAAACCCCTAAAGGTTAATGTTGCAGTTCAGATTGTTTTTAAAAAATGTTTGATAATATACATGAATATGATGTCTACATATAACTTTTCACCTTTAAGTCCTTAAAGATGTGTATTACGCTGTGTGACCTCTTATACTCTCCAGCACAATATGCATTAATGTTGAAAGGAAATGCAAGGGTTTAGACATATTGCTTTCAAGTGACTTATTGATAGTTTAGTTTGTATTACCTTAGACAATTTTGCCTTGGATTCAGAATTATCTTTGGGAACAGAGTCTTTAATAAGCCGAGATCGGTCATAATTAGCATGTTCTGATTCATCCATGTAATCCTTATCTTTTCCTAGGGCTAGAAAAGAGAAAGAGAAAATTATATCCATTTTTATACTTCTTCCTTTTCTTTCTCTTTAAATGTACTAATCTCTCTTTTATTCATGTTTTCCAAGGGTTAGCCAAGTATAACTCTCTTATGACCATTTGGCCAAAATGTAAGCTAAAAAAAAAAAAAAAAGAAGAAAGAAAAGAAATAACATGACAGCTTCTCTGTTAGTGGATTAACACTGATGCTACAGTAACTTTCATAAGAATTAAATGCATCTCTACTGTTCAATGTACTTAAGCTTTGAAAATAACATTAGAATCATGCAAGCTCATCACCTCTTTCGAACTTGAAGACAAAGATATTTCTAAGAATTCAATAGCTTCCCAAACATTTATTTGCTTAATTAAAAACTGTATGAATTTTGAAATTCAATAGATTCCCAAACATTTGTTTGCTTAATTAAAAACTGCATGAATTTTGAGAATTTGTTTTCTTAAAAGTTGGAAAGTTTTCTAAATGTGAATTTGACTGAAGAGTGACAGAAGCTCTGAAAAATTATGGAAGAAAGTCTAACAAACGTTACAAGAAAATCTTTTTAAAAATATTAGGAGATTGAAATGAAACTACAACTACAAAAAAAGGAGAGGACATTAAAAAATAATTCCTATTAGAATTACAAAAAGAGTAAGACCCCGTAATATCAACCACGTGTAAGAGCATATATGAACAATGAAGAAGCTATAGTCAAGGTAAAAAAGTACAAAACAAGAAGCCTCTATGGTGACTGCAAGTACAACCAAGAACTGTGACATGCCTCACAAAATCTGCATTCCATAGGACACAAGCCTCTCTTCAAATTCAAAAACAGAATTGTACATATTTAGCTTTTTCAAATAAATCAAAATATTTTGGAGAGAGTTATTCAATTCCATCTGTTGACACCCACGAAACATAAACTTTGACATAGACAGCCATGTATAATGCTTTAAAGAGTTCAATCATTTGACTTAGTATTGTAACAGAGTAAAAAATTATTTATTATGCATGCATTAATTTATTTTATTAGTAATGCATAAAATCTGTGCATATGTTATACTATGCACAGCCAGAGTATCGGAATCTTAGCAATGGTATGAATTAAGATTGGACAGGTAATATTATGTCTTAGTATGTCATTAATTGCCACTTATGTTAAAATGTTCTAAGCACTTACAGTTATACCTAGATCTATTAAAAAGAGCTAACTGGTGGCTAACATTTGTTGAGTACATATGAAGAGCCAGAAACTTTACAGGTATTATTTCCTCTAATCCTTATAACAATTGTACAAAGTGGGTATGCTTTTTTTTTACCTACATTTAATAGTAAATTAAGGCAGATGGAGATTAAATATTGTGTCAAAGTCACTAATTCAATAAGGAGTGCGTCTAGAACTGAAACATATCCAGATTTGACTCCAAAGCTGATGCTCATGAATATACCATAATCTTTTCCCTATATTTATGTAGATTACATTTGATTCATTTAACAATTTTTTATCAAACACTTATGATATGCCAGACATTGTTCTAAGAGTTGGAAATACAGCAGCAAACAGAATTCTGCCTTCTTGGGACATTCAAGTACAAGAAGAAAACAATAAATAACACAAATTAAGAAAACAGTAAGTATGTTTTCTGGTGAGTGCATTGGAACATATACATTAGAAAGGAAGGATGTAGGTGTCAAACGTGTGGAGGGAGAGGGATGCTAGTTTAGACAGAGAGACTAGGTAGGAGTTACTGCAATAATCAGGTAGAAAGGATATGGTTTGGGCCAGGGTGGTATCAAGATGGAGAAATGGTCAAACTGAAGATGTATTTTTTAAGGAAAAGTTAACAGAGTTCTATTGGATGTGACATATGAAAGAGAAAAGTCAACAATAGTCCCAATGGTTTTGTTCTGAGCACTGGGAAGGGTGCCATATTATTTTCACATATTATTCGATTAAATCCTTTACAGGTATTATTTCTAGACTTTGTTACTGATGAGGAAATGTAGCAGTTACCTAGAATCTTACATTTGGTGCGTGGCAATAGAGTTCCAGAAATCGGGCTCTAACCTTACGTTTCTAGCCACTATGTAATACTGCTTCTTGTAGTATTTGGAGAGATGATGATTTAGGAAACTGAAGCAATAAAATATTTACAATTTAAAAAAATGGGGTCACATAAAAATTGTAATATATTTATTGAATGAAAAAAGGTAGAGTCTCTAATTATAAACATAATTTTCTATCCTCCTAAAGTTGACAAGGATGGAGATAAATATTAGTATCCCAATAGATAAAGATAAAAATTGTAAGCAGACAAGAAATGAAAGATGAGACAAATTTAGTAAAAACTTATTTATTTTTATATGGTTTAATACTTTCAATGACCAAGAACTTAAAATAAAAAAGTTACTATTTTATGCCAGTACAGAAATATTCTTTTGCATCTTTCATTTTTTAAATGTTTTATTATTTATTTTTGAGAGAGAGAGAGAGAAACAGAATGTGAGCAGGGAGGGACAAAGAGAGAGGGAGACACAGATCCAAAGCAGGCTCCAGGGTCTGAGCTGTCAGCACAGAGCCTGATGCGGGACTCAATATCACAAGCTGTGAGATCATGACCTGAGCCGAAGTAGGATGCTTAACCAACTGAGCCACTCAGGCACCCCATTGCATCTTTCATTTTTAATAAAAATATCCAGGGGTGTCTTGGTGGCTCAGCTGACTAAGCCATCTGACTTCCGCTCAGGTCATGATCTCAAGGTTCGTGGGTTTGAGCCCCACGTTGGCCTCTGTGCTTACAGCTCAGAGCCTGGATCCTGCTTCAGATTCTGTGTTTCCTCTCTCTGTGTCCCTTCTCTGCTCCCACTCTGTCTCTCTCTCTCTCTCAAAAATAAATAAACACAAAAAAATTAAAAAAAATATATCCAGATGCTAGGGAAACTGATAATAGTCATTTGTTTTCTGAACCAATATAAATTGGTAAAACTTTTGGAACAAAGTATGTCAATATGTTTTAAGAGCACAACTGGAGAGGAATCTTAAAATCATCTAAAAGAAAAAAAAAATCTATGTTCACAAGAACGTTCTCCCAAGTCTATGCATAATAAAATACAGGAACAATTACCATTTTAATAAATAGCAACTCCATTCTTCCAATTACACAGGCCAAAATCATGACTCCTCATTTTCTCTTATACCTAATGTCCTATCCTTGAGTAAATTTTGTTGACTGAGCATGAAGTATCATTTATTTTTCTGCTTTGTTTTACTCCTTAGCATCTATCAGTATTGAACATGCAATATGTTTTTATTTATCTTCATTTACTATGTATTTCCCTCACTAGGGTATTTGAGGGCCAGTTTTTTGCTTTGTTCATTTTTCTTGTCTTTTTCGTTCACTGTTTTGTCCTTAACATCTAGAACAAGGTCTGACCTGCCATTGCCATTCAGTAAAATTTGCTGAATGACTACGGGATTTAAATGTCCATCATTCTTGTCTGAACTACCTTCAAATTATATCTAGAAGTTGATAATTTACCACCATTGTACGTTCTTAACCCAAACCACCACTCTTTCTTGGCAGAAGTCTGTGAGAATCTCCTAACCAGTCTTCCTATTTCTATATTTTGCTACTATCACATGATAGCCAGAGGGGCCCTTTCAAAGCTTAAGTTAAATTACATTAAACTTCTACTCAAAACCTTCCAATAGTTTCTTAGCTCCAAGTAAAAGTCATATCTACATCATGGCACCCTGGGTAAGCACCATCCTTGATGTTAAGTATGCTCTCACCACAGAGCCTTTGCACTTGCTCTTTTCTCTGCCAGGAATGCTCAATCCCTATTGCAGCCAAGCATCTGCTCATGTCACAGCCGCAGAGAATCTCTCCGTGACCACTGTTTCTAAAATAAAACCTCCCATACTTCTTTGTCTCCTCATAAGCCTTTATTACTTTTATCAGCACTTGACGTAGAATAACATACACACACACACACACACACACACACACACACACACACACACACACACTAATGCATGGTATATATGTACATATATATCAGCACTTGATATTAAGTTATAGCATAGATATATAAGATATATGAATGCTATATATAAGTATATATACACAAATAAGCATTTTTACATGCATATATGTGTTTGTATCCATATAAGAAACAGGAAGAGGATATAGATATAGATATAGATATATAGATATAGATATATACACACACACATACACACATACATACATACATATAATACTTACAACTCATTAATAAGAAGGCAAATAACCCAATTTATAAATAGGCAAAGGATCTGAATAGACATTTTTCCAAAAAAAGATATACAAGTGGCCAATAATCACATGAAAAGATGCTCAACATCATTATTACCAGGGACATGTAAATCAAACCCACAATGAGACCACTTCACACTCACTGGGATGGCTATAATAAAAAAGATGGGGGCATCTGGGTGGCTCAGTCAGCTGAGCGCCCAACCCTTGATTTTAGCTCAGGTCATGATCTCATAGTTCATGAGTTCGAGCCCTGTATTGGGCTCTGTGCTGACAGTGCAGATCCTGCTTAGGATTCTTCTTCTCTCTTCCCTTCTCTCGCTTGTGCTCTGTCTCTCAAGAGAAATAAAAACATTAAAAAAAAATGGACAATAACAACCATTGGTGAGCATATAGAGACATCAAGCCCTCGTACACTGTTGATGGGAATGAAAAATAGTGCAGTTGCTGTAGAAACCAATCTGGCAGTTCTTCAAAAGTTTTAACATAGTTACTATATGATTCCCTATACTACTCCTAGGTACAGTCTCAACATAAATGAAAATATAAATTCTCAAAAAAATTGCAGCATTATTCGTAATAGCCCCCAAAGCAAAAGCAATCCAAATATTCATCAACTGATGGATGAATGAGTGAAACATACAATGGTATATTATTCAGCAATAAAAAGGAACGAAGTATTGATTAGTGCTAAAA